CCAGATGATGGTTTTCTGTAAGACCTTAGATTAAACTTTTTCTCTATCTCATATTTTCTGGTTTGCAGAACTTTTTTTCTTATGTAAGCCTCAAATTGACGGTGACTGAAGCTTCAACAAGAATTAAAACTGCATCCATTTATTAAAAAGTGTTTTTTTCCCTAGTGCATCCAAATCCTTGGTGGTATGGGATATGTCACTGACATGCCAGCTGAGAGGTACTACAGGGATGCCAGAATCACCGAGATTTATGAAGGAACAAGTGAAATTCAAAGACTTGTAGTTGCTGGAAGACTTTTAAAAGAATATAGCCAGTGATAATTTTAATCTTGAAATCCTTGCTAGACTTGGTGTCGCATTTTATTTATGCATGCCTCAAACCTAAATTGTACATGAAGTTTCTCAAACTTGACGACAGTGTTATTGACAAACCAGCTAAGTGGGATTTTCATTTTGAGGTGCCAAAATTTCACTCTCGACTTACAACTTTATAAATCAATGAAGATGTTTGACCACAACAGACATAGTTTTCAGAAACAGTTTTGGATATCTTCTTTTAAAGAATGCGGTATAATGTATTGTAGTTTACAGATTAATGATTGAGCAAAGAACTTCGAATGTACGGCAATTTAGTTGTCACTAATAGAACTGTCACTGACAGATCAGAGGATGGCAACTGTATTGCAGACAATTAGGATGGTGCCATAGTATAATATTTCGAAAGCAAACACCAGTTGAGATACATGTATTTTATGTAAAAAATATTTGGTTCAATGATGTACATATACAGTTCCATCCTAATGTAATTGTTTATGTACACTTCACAAATAAAACACATGTAAATAACTATGTTGTATTAACAAATCTTCTTTTTGATAGTCTTGCTTGTGAAACAAATAAAACAAAAACAGGTGAGAGTTAACATGTTTGTGTGGTTGAGGATATGAGCGACATCTAGCAGACAAAAACTAGTTGTGCTCACTATGTGAGCTGGGTACACCTTGTAGTAAGAACTCTTGTGCAGCCTCTCTGGCTGATTTCCAGTAATGCAGCTTAATGTGTACTTGTATTGTCAGTGGTGGCAGAGGTGTGGCATCTTCCTCATCTTCCAAGCTTTCTTCATGTTTGTCTTTTTCTTTTCCTTTCTTGTCATCCTTGCTTGACTTCCCCCGGCTAGCTTTGCCCTTTCCTGGAGTAGCTGCTCGCAGGTTGCCTTTGGATGCTTTATCAGCAGGATCTACGAAAAAACACAAAAGACTGTTAGTAAGAGATGGAGATTCTTGAAACTACTATGCTAAAACTATTCACATTAACTAACGTACAGCCTCACAAGGATAACATATACTGACCTTTATTTGTCTTCTTTCTTTCACTGATATCTGACTTGGCACCAGACCCTCCATCTTTCTTGTCACTATCCCCAGTCTCTTCTCCTCCTTCACAGACACACTCTGTTTCAACTTCAAGTTCTCCTTCTAACAATGAAGCCAAGGGAACTTGACAGGAACCAAGAATTGAATGTGTTCGTGGAAGCTCAAACAACTCTATGTCTTCCTGTTTATTTCTCTTGCCTTTTCCATCCTTGACCTAGAAAGAGTGAATAGTTTTGAAACATTTCAGAAGAGACTACCTGCATGTACATTTACGTTTAAACATGGAGAGGGATTTCATATTTTTAGTCTATTCTTAATAACAACATATTGTGGTCCATTTAAGTGGAATCATGTTGGTCCACAAACCTTGTCCTTTCCCTTTCCTGAATCTTTACGCTTGTCCTTGCTTGGAGCTTTTTGTATCTTGCTTCCTGGTCGGCCTTATGAGTGAAAACAATTGCAAGAAACTTTTACACAGTGATTACTATCATAAATTAAATATTATTCTTTACAACCACTTGCAAGCATCATCAAACTTGTCATATCAGCAAGAGCCATGGTTCTTTCATGTTCTATGGAGTTCAAAGCAGTTTTTTGAGCCTGCCACTGCATGCTGATGAGTCCTAACAATAGCTACCACACTGCTGTGTACAGTCATACTGCTTTGATCCAGTCATTGTATCTGCAAAGTACTCTCTGAAATAATTTTGTAGCTTACATAACAAACAGTTGGATTCTGCTCAAAATAGCAGCAGCTTTTACTTTTTGCTGAGGCTGGCGGCTTGGTTTCCATATTCTGTAGTGCATTAGGATCCTCCAAAACATACATATGTTTGGTTTTTATCACAGTAAAATGAATGCCATCTTGAATAAAGTCCCGCAGTGGGACCAGTAGACGTGTGTGAAAGTTCTTGTTGTAGTCAAGTTCTATCCCGTCTTCATTCCACGGCATGCTTCCTGTTACAACTGCTTGAAACAGACCTATGCAGAGAAACATCTTTGTGATGACTAACTAGCTGCTTGAAAATAGTATTCTGTGTATTGTAAGTTGTATTATTTTGTTATTAACGACTACTTTATTATCTGCTATATGCTAATGCTGCTTACGGTCACATGACTGTGTCTGTGAAAATTTCCAAAAATTGGATGAAGGTCCACAATACACTGTAAGCTCACTGTGCAAATCATTTTAGCCCATTCTAGCCCATTCTGCATGAATAATTCAACAGTTGCAGGTTGGCGATGTAAAATTTCAGATGCAAATCTGATGTGAAATTCTGGTAAGTGAACTTTTTTTTTCGGTGTTTACATGGAAAATAAAAATGTTCAAGCCATAAAAGTACTGTGAAAAAATGAGAGAGTACATGGAGATTTCATATAATCTGCAGAGGTGCACTTTTCGAGCATAAAACCCTCATACATGATTTTTGGCACTGCTTTGGTTAAAAGCTCTCAAAGTTATTAATGAATCAAATTATACACCCAACTTTGCTGTATACCAAGTATTGTTTAATTTGGGAGCAATAATTATCATTCCACTCCAAATGAGAAAGATCAGTTTATCGCTTTGGCAGCCATTTTGTTGACATTTTTTGTTTTGGCAAATGTTACCCCTCTTGTGAAAAACACTGGTCAGCAGAATCAGCACAAAAGAAAGTAACAACCCATTAACCAAGCTGGTGATTTTTTCCCCCAATTAACTGCTGCAACTCCCCTAGCAATGCTATCACTAATTCTACCCATTTGATCTATTTGTGAAGCGAGAAAGGAGCCATCAACCCAGCTTGAATTGCCCAATTGACTGACTCACCAGTATCTTGATCATCACCATTGTCAACAGTTCCTTCCTCTTGGCCATCACTGTTACAGTCATCAGCTATGATAGAGATGGTGGGTATTGACAGTGTAGGAGACTCACACAGAATAACTGTGGCTGCACTTTTGAGGAATTTAAATTCCACATGATACTTGTGTTCGGTCTTTGGGTAATCAGTGTTAATTTCTGGATCCTGTGGAAAAGTTGTGTGAAATACGAAGTAACAATTACTTCATATGAGTGATAAAAAAGTGTAATGACACCACTTTGTGGACTGATTATCATTTTCATCTGGCCATTACATGTTATTAACCCCAGTGGCACTCTCACTTTAAACACCATGGGATGCTCATTACAAAGTTTTCAAAAAAAAAAATAAAAAATAGACATTGTAACTGTCCAGTATTCAAGAACCACATGCCAGTTGCAAAAATTCCATTCCTGTTAGTATTTTCTTATTTACTTGCTGTATGCTTAGAGATGCCAACATTAAGCATCTGGTAGTACCCAATTTTTATCACGTCTTCATTAGTGCTATATAGAATTCCTCTCTCAGGTACATAGATTACCTTTATTAAATTTCATGCTTGTATGTAGCAATCTAGGTAGTGACAATTTATCTAGAACATATAACTAAAACGGTGACTATTTAAAGTAGGCGACAGCTTGGGTTTGATAAGTTGTCAAATCTAAGATGTCACAAGGAGGCAGCGTGGCTGAGTGGTTAGGGCGCCAGCGGGTTGAAGTCCCGCTTTGACCACTAAGCTGGAGTTGTTTCTTGGTAGACCCTAGTTAAACTCCTCTGTTATGCTTGTAAATAGCCAACTGGTCTGCCTCCTGCCAGTTGGGATTTTTAATAAAGTATTAATGTGGTGCCCTCCAGAGTTTTGCTACTGCTGATTAATATAGTGTACAGTGTTAAATCAAGACTTTATAATGTAATATAATGTACTTATCTATGTTATGTTGTATGTTCATTTGCATTATTTGTTTCATCACTTGGTTTCATTGAGCCTGAAGAGCCCCATTGGGGGAGTGGTCAATTGAGATTTAGCTCTTACTATGTTGACTGAGCAGGAGGTCTTTATGGGAGAATATTGACCAAGGTTGGGAGTACAGACCGAACGCAGTGAGGTCTGTGACTGAGGTCAGGAAGTTTGCTCATCCTCTTTACTTTTTGTTCTTGTCAGGCTTTTGGCACTGCCATAAATAAATATTGTTAGATGAAAATAGCCAATGATTTTGCATTTTTGTTTGCAACTTTCTCACTGCAAAACATTACCGGTCTAGACGCCGGTCTAGATGGGAAAATCTAGACCGCTTTCAATATCGATTTCAGCCAATCAAATTTGTGAATTTGGTAGTTCCCAGTCCTTGTGAGACAGAGCAAATAATAAATTTATTTATTTACTTATTTATCTCCAGTACTAGCTTTCTTGCAACCATCAAGGCTGCTGATATGCATTTTGTATTAATGTGGCCCTCCAGGGTTTTGCTAGTGCTGATTAATGTAGTGTACAGTGTTAAATCAAGACCTTATAATGTAATATAATGTACTTGTAAAGGTCAAAATCTAGCAAGTTGACCATCTCTAAGTAGGAAGCATTATGCCAGAAATATGAGTGTATTCACCTCAATTTCCTCAGGCATTCTAACACCTTTAATTGTCTTGATGGATATCATCATTTGAGCTTCATCCACTGGAACATCTTAAACAAGATGATCATTTATTACAGCAAATTACCACAATGACTGAAGAGACTTAACTATGTTTAATGAAATGTTTGGTGCATTAAAATGGCAGTGTCAACAAAAATCAAGTTTTACCACTACAACATGATAATATTTCAATATTATTTGTCAGGTCAGATACTAGGTCAGATACCCTGACCTGTCCTCCATTAATTTTAAATCATTACCTTTCAGTTTAGAAAGCCCTTTGAAGAAATGTTTCTCATCTGCAGAAATTCTGATATCATCAAGAATTGTTAGTTGACGAATTGAGTCAATTGTGTAACCACGGTAGCCTGGTACAAGCTAAAAAAACGACAAAGTTAAACAGAAGTAACAAGCTATTTCAATTTTAATATTCATTTACAACAGCACTGGTAACTACACTATAATTTGCAAATTTAACACAGACTAAATAGGGGTAAAACATGACCCTTTGTGCACACAACTTGTACAAAACTGCCTCTAACTTATGAAGAAGTTTCAAAAGTTCACAAATAAAATAATCTTCTGAAAAATAGTTAAGTTCTGATAGTCATACATGTTTTCAAAATAACTTCTGAGGATTATGCAGCACTAAAGTGCTGAGTACTTTGATTATTGTCATCATCATTTATCTTTTTTGACTGTTGTTTCCCTGAAAATTAGATTTTAAAACTACACTTCTCTACTTACCAATTAGAGGGCAAATGATAAATGAATTCCCATGTGATCCAAATAAGGATTGGGAAACTTGAAGTGAGCAGATTTATAACTTTGAAAGAAATTTGCCTATTTCTGCCCTAAAAAATATATGAAAAGGTAAAAGGAAAAATGTCCTTGAGTACGTACCGCCAGTGGATTTCCCTGAAGGACAAGATTTTTCAGTTTAGGTAATGTCTTGAGCACATTGATGGTGTGGTATAGATCTGCAAGGTTGTTGAAGCTTAAATCCAGAGACAAAAGATGAGGCCTGAAACAAGCAAAGATGACAATTTATTTTATTAGTACATTTGAATGGGTCAAGTTATATGACACACAGATATAAGTAATAATGTACTAGCAAAGACAATTTTACGCTCTAGGACTTGAGTGTAGCCTGCAACAGACAAGCGCCCCATTTGTATGAAGAACGTTTTTGGCCTGGCCTAGACTAACCTAGGAGAATATGGGTGTTAAATGTCTGTTTACTACATTTCAAAAGTGTTAACTTTTATTTGGAACTTAGGACATAGTGTCTGAACTCTCTGATGATATTACTGCTTGACTTAAGTGAGATTCGTACCATGAAGTTGACTTCATGTGTCCTGTGATAGAAGAAATCAGATTGTAGCTGAGGCCTAAGTGAATCAGAGGTGGAGGGCACACACACAGAGCACTTATATCTGAAATTTGATTGGCTGCAAGTTCCAGCTCCTAAAAAAAAAAAAATCACAATTACATTTAATTATTTGTAGAATCTCAGCTCATAATAGCCTATGTTATAATTTACGCATTATAACAGTTGACTGCATGGATCTGTAACATACCTGTAACCCTTTGGGAAGTTTCTTGGAGTCTATGTTTTTGATTAGATTTGCACTCAAAGTCAGCTGCTTAAGATTTTTAAGTTGAAGAAGTCCATCATCGATTTCTGTTACCTGGAATAAAAACTTGTAACATGATCTTGGGAATCAATATAAGAGGATTCTTTGAATAATAATGATATATAAAAATAATATATAAATATTACAAGTAAAAGAAAAATTAAAATCTACAAGATGTTAATAAACAAAATGTCATTCAGGGCTCGAGACTAACTTTTCAGTTTGGTAGCCCAGTGGCTAGTGACAGGTTTGATTCACTAGCCAAAACAAATTTTTCACCAGCCAGATACAGACATTTGCAAACATAGGTATCGATGTTATAATAATAGGTGCCGCTCAACAACGAAACCCGAAGTTTTCGCTTCCATGAGAAATTCCCACAGAACTTTAACTTCGCAACTAGCCACTGATTCCTTTCTCTCAAAATGCCGATTCACGATTTCTCATGAACACAACAATTCATTCCACTTTACAAGTTTCAAACATAGACATTGATAGGCATCATTCAAATTTTCAAACTGCAAATTTTTTAATTGTTTGAAAGCATACATAAACTCCAGATGTTGCGTGCATGAAACATGATCCCTAGAGTTCCACAGGATTTCATGCATGACTTATCATTAGCGGCAAGCAGTTTGTTTGTTGTTTGTCGCTTTTTCTAGGGAAAAAAACAAACAAAAAAGTTAATCATTCTTTCGTATTTTAGTAATTTAAAGTTCTTGTTTGGGCCAGTAAATTATATATGATACAGCCGATGTTTTAAATTCTGGACACTTTGACTTGATTTCGTTTTGTGAAAAATTTGAAATTAACTTTTTATTGGTTTCCTCTGGGCCTCCAGTGCTCACAAACTTTCATTTTCACTAGCCAAAATGGAATTTTTACCAGTCTGTGGCTAGTTGGCTACCGTTAGTCTTGAGCCCTGTCATTTATCCTAACCTTACTATTTTAATAAAGCAAGTAACCCATCTTGTCCTGCATATGATCTCACCTTTTTATCTACAATTCGAAGTGACTTGAAGAATTTTAGAATAAAGGCTTCTGTAAGTTTATCAGGTGTCTTGACAGCAATTTCACGCAAGCTCTCAGCTTCACTACTCCAGGTACAGTCCACATCATAAGGCAACTTCACAGCCAGCTCTTGGAGACTCTCAACTGTCTCTAGCTGGGCACTATGTTCTGTTCAGAACATTTAAAATCAAGATGAAGGGCACCTTTTACAGACTGAAGGTTTATAGGGTAGGGATTTTACTAGCTAAACTACAGAAAAGGGTTGGCAAATTAACTATTTTGCTATTTAAAAGACATGTTTAACATACCTATACATGTTTAACATATCTTAAACAAAGGCACCTTTAAGGTACAGCTGAAACATCTCAGTTTTAATGGGTTATGCAGTCCAGAGTTATAGTGAAAGGATGCAGCAGCCTACCCCAAGAAGGGTTTCCTTCGCTCCTGGAGCACTCCCATTGATGAGCTTTATAGATATGTGCTGCAGAATAGGGTATGGTTTATGAGGTTCTCTATCCTTAAATAGGGTTTCAATTTTGCCCCTGTTGGCATTGTGTTCTTGTTGTTATCCTTAGATAGGGTACTTAAATTGTATGAGCTAAAATTGCAGTGCATACATACCTGAAAAACAAATTCTATGCTTGATGCTTAACTTTCAAAATTATGATACAGAAATGAAATAAAGTTGACCCATTCACACCATTCTTAGTTTTGTTTTCCCCTTGAATAAGGTGCAATTTTTCAGGTTTGGGCCTTACATCAGGTATCAATTTTGATTTGCTTCATCCTCAAAAGGGTCATAGTTTAAACACCCTTTGCAGCACACCTTTTTTTGTTAAATATGATTATGTTGCAGTTCCTAGACAGTTATGTTCAAACGTTTGTAGTAGATGAACACAAAAAACCACACAATAATAAATGGCGTAAAGGGGGCTTGCTGCTCTGCGATAGGTGTGACAGGCGAACTTCCATTGTGTGACCAACGCCTAAGTTATTCCCGCAGCAGTAAAACCCGCATTGGATCAGACAAGTCGGCTAAAGGGCAAAGCCTAGCTCTCAACGGCACTACGAGCTGAAACCTCCCGCCAGCATAGTGCTAGAGAGTAGACATTTGTGTTTTTCTCAAGCCTACTATCGGTTAGCCCAGTTTTGATTGTGGGGTGGATCGCTCTCAAAGAGAGAGAAGATCTGGAAACAAGTTTCATTCAAAAACAAATAAAAAATCTGAAGTTTGGTTATAAGAGTCACTGTATTGTAGTAAAAAATGACCTATAATTCAAAACTTAAGAAACCATTAGACCCATTAAATAAATCAATAGTTTCAAACCTGGAATTATTGCTGGTATAACTGCAGATGATGATCCAAGCTTCAAGGTACCTGTGCTCTTCAGGCTTACATTACTGCTCAAGTTTTGAGCTCGCTTAAGAAAAACAAAAGTCTTTTAGTATTTTACAATTAAAATGTTATATAGGCCTGATTCCACTAACAATCATCAGGGAAAAAAAATCATGAAACATGTCTTCAATGTTATTACATCCTAACATGTCTGCTATTTTCTCCATGCAGACGAAGTACCAAACAGCAAGTAAAATATTTAAGCTTACCCAACTACCATATCCACAAGGGAATTCTCGGATACATAAAGTATTAAGCTGCGAATGAAACGCGGCAGTAACATTAAAAGAACGGACCGTTTCAGCCATGTTATTTTCTGTCTATATTTTGAGTTTGTCCGCCATTTTGGTTGCCAACTAAAACACACGAGAGTGAGGCTCCCGTGGTTTGTTTCCAAGCAGTGGAAAAACAGAGAGGAATCTGGAACCTATTATTCGTTCCAATATGTCGGACGAGTTGTCTCGGACTCATGTTCATTGACCAAAATGACCGAGAAAAAAGACGGGTTTCTTCGAATTGGTGGCGATTCAGATTTCCAAGGTCGTAGTAATTCGATCTTTGGATGTCTAGACAAGCTTGAACCTGAGCAAAAGACTGAAAAGAGCGAAACAGAATCGAAACCACTTGGAGCTCGTGCACCAAAACGTGTTCCAGATCACGTTTTGCACCCAGAAAAATGGACAAAGTATAGTCTGGAAGAGGACGGAACTGAAAAGAACGTTGGTACGCTGAATGGTGATGCCTTAAACAGACATGCTGCTCTCTCATTTATGGACGAAATTCGTAAAAGAAAGGAAAATTCCAACAGAAGTGTAGAATTAGAGTCCGACGTAGCGATGGCCGAGAAACACATTTTTTCAAAATCGGCCATCAAACACAAAATGGAGGTGGATGAAATTCTCCCTAAGTCCCTGCTTGTTGATGGTGTCAATATCATGCCTGAGTATGTTATAGGACAATCTCCGGCTAAAACACCTAAAACACAGTTACAGGCTCATCCCGCGAAAAAGACATCTCACTCCCCAGGGGATGCAGTTTGCCTTGAACACTTAAAAGAACAAGACGCTTTAGAAAAGGGTATAGACATTGTATCTTCAGAGATCACAAAGCCGATCTCTGATTCTGCAGGAGAAGAGAAACAGAGAACAACGTTTACTAAAAGAAAGGTCAAGGCTCGTGGAGGACTGCGTGAGCACAAACCCTCAGAAGACGATGAATGATTCATGCAGCGTTACCCAATTACATCTGTATATTTCTTTCCCCGTGACAGAAATTTGTACCTGCTGGTCACTTAGAGAATGAAAGTTATATACACCTTGGAAGGTCTACATGTTAAGTAAATTATCTCACGTGTAGCTGTTGGTTTTCGTTTACATTAACAAGAAGCTTAAGAAAGGTTAAAACTGCAGTGTCTTTGCTCCTTAAAATAAATAGAAGCTTAAGAAGTTCACTGTATTGAGATGGAGTGTGCGAGTGTGCGGTTTTTGATGTTATGGTTGTTTTTTGATTTTTGAAATCTCCAGTTTCAAAATGAAAAGTGTAATTGAAGGTTTGTGTTTATGGTTTGTACAGAGAGTTGAATGATAATTGTTTGAGTGTTAAAAGTTGCAAAAATAGCTAACACCCACATACACATGCAGAAACTAGTCCACTTGACCACACATGCCAGAAAATGGCAGAATTTGTGGTGAAAATATAAAGAGGAAGGCAATTATTACTGTTGCAAATGCCAAGACTCAACAGGCCATTCTTTGCAAACTTCACAAGTGTGGTTAAGATCACAAGGTTTGTTTTCTCTCTTGCTCTGACTGTGTACTTGAACTAAAATAACCCAACCCACAGCACTCCGTAAAGTGGTACTATGACGAAAATTGCATCTTTCCTATCTAAGCCATTTTAAAACATAAACAGGTAGTCTGTAAGAGAAGAAAAATGGTGTTTATTATTTTCAAATATCTCTTTTCGTTCCAGAGATATTTAAGTTTTTAAAATATGCAAATTACACTCAACCAAATTTTGATGAAATATGATGAGATATCTCAGCCAATTTGAATCAGAAATGTTTGATCCTTTGCAGTAAGACTCTACTAAATGTGCTCCACAATACAAGCTTAACAGTTTTATTACCATGGCAACATACTGGGTTCTAGACCTCCCCAATATTGCAGGCTTTTCTGGCCATCTTTGGCACTCCATTTTGATATTAAATTTTGCTAATGGTGTCTCATAAATATGCATATAAGTATGTTAGCTTGAGTTTGTGGCCTCATTTGATGTTTCTCAAGCTGAAAATCACTAACATATTGAAATCAAGTGGATGGGGACTGGAAAAGAATGAGTTTCCATGGGAACATAATTTTTCATAGCAGTAGGTGTGGTGCCTGTAGAACTATTAGCCTACCAAGTTTCAAGTTTTTCTGCTGCAAATTGACCGAGATAGCTCTATTTATATACTTAATATAATAATATGGGGGAGGCGCGGTGGCCTTGTGGTTAGTGCGCTCGTCTCCGGATTAAGTGGTCCAGGTTCGAGCCCTGGCCGGGGACATTGTGTTGTGTTCTTGGGCAAGACACTTTACTCTCGTAGTGCCTCTCTCCACCCAGGTGTATAAATGGGTACCGGCAAACTTAATGCTGGGGGTAACCCTGTGATGGACTAGCATCCCATCCAGGGGGGAGTA